TTATGCCAGTCTCAGGCTAGAAACTCCAGCATCAGGTGAATGCGGCGCTATATATACAGGATAAAGTTCAACTTCAGTGACATTCAACGTTTATTTTTACTGCCAAGTCGTACATTCCTTCATCCTGGTCCGGTGTTTCTTAAATGACGGTGGATAGCATAGCTGTACATGCAAGTCCGTTGCCCATTTAGTGTGCGCGGTCATTGATGGAAACTATTTGCTTGAGTTCATTCATTCCAGAAATGTATGTGGCTCTGTATGCGGTACGAACCTAAGGGACTGAAAAGATCATGGTGGGACCTATGATATTCTAGACTCAACAGTATTCAATGAAGCACATTCTGCAAGAAGGAACTGCGACATATGCACATTGCAACGTTTTAGGATAATGTTTCTATAGAAGGTCACAAACCTCGATCAGGCCAAGTGATTTTTAAAGACGCATTGGCGAAGTATGGTAGTTTTGAGCTTAATCTATGGTTTAAGCTCTGCACAACCTAGGCCTGATAGCTGTTTTAACGAATGTTGGGTAAAACCAGTCAAAGCCAGAACGAGAATGAAAACCAGTGAAAGAATTTTGGAGCAGACTCCAGCTGAAATCTTGTGTCCATAGTTATGAAAGAGCTGGGCTGATCTCTCCCCAAATTCTGGAATGGCAGTCAACAGTCACATCTTCTAAAGTACATGCTAGAAGCCGACAGTGTAGGAAAGAAAAAGTCGAGATCTATTGCACGCCCCAATAACCACTAAAAATGGGGCAAAATCCTGTCTTGAAGAACAAGAATGTCACGAGCAGAAAAAATGTTCTGGCCCCAACATTGTGTCCTTGAAGTGAAACTGTGCCAGCCAAATTACAAAGTGGGAAAATTAGCGCATCGAAACTTTTCCAGAGGAATGCTTATGTTATCTGTGATGAAAGCAAGTGAGGAGTGAAAACGCATTGAACAGTCACGTGGCTTCCCCAAGGAATGTGGCAATGAAGTGTATTGGAGGGGGCTTAAGACGTTGGTTCTACGGCGATATCTTTGTACATAGACTAGTAGTCGAAACTCCGATGACGCCTTATGTAGTGCAATCCTTACATTATCTTAGGAATAGCGAGAGTCAAGTTCCTTGTCACGATTTTTGACGTAAACCCTGGGGATAGGGGAGTTGCAAGGGAGGAGTACGGATGAGTTAAATGTAAGATTTATTCGTCATTAATACATAGTGGGAGATTTCCCGGTAAGCGACCCACGCTCAAGAGAAGTTAAGTGCTAACATTTAAATGAATGTGTTGAGCAGTCACAAAGTGTGAGGAGAAAGTTCAAGTTAGGATGACTGACGATGGATGGTGCATAGAAGGCACAAGGAAATCCAACATTCGTTGAGTTCACATGACACTAATTACAAAAGTGAACATTTACTATCGCCGTAAAAAATGACAGAATGTCAGTAACTATTCGGTACTCAGTACTTGTTATTTCACATTATAGTGTGAATTCCAGATTGAGGGTTTTCACTCCTACCTACATGTTAGGGCTCACAAGCTGGTTTTGTCTTCATATACACTTTCTACGTTCTATTAACTTGTGTGGACACTGACCACAGCTTAGTAATACAAGTGGACTCCGGACCATGGTATCTTTCCGGAAACTGGCCTATTTGCCAAGCAGTTAAAGAAACTGTCTTTGAATTTGCAATGGTTTGCAATAGTCGCCTCTGTCGGTGAGACTGTCTCAAAGAGTGTACTGGAAATTTATTAGACTGTGGAGAAGATGAAAACAATAAGGTGTGTGTAGGCAGACGTGCAAGCAAAAACCTTGAATCAGATAGACTTTGTTCAACTGGCAACTGTGTTCGGCATGAAGATTAGTTCTGGCGCAAAACAAATTTTAGGTCAAAACTAATAGGGCGAACTTCCGTGGTGTTGAGAAGGTCATCGCTGCTGAATAAAAAATCGGAAAGACATTTGTCAGAAGTTTTCTGGGTGCATTCAGGAATAGTTTTCGGAGGAGCGTTTTAAGCATACAGTTTGACGGAATTGTTCGATGAACGAGCTTACAAACTGCTTACCGGAAAAGCAGTGACAAACTTGGGCGAATCAACTTCAACCATAATTGAAGAAAGTACAAGCTCCCTCGACATGATTTCTCTCTCGGAAGCCTATACGAATGCGAACGTTTGTGCAATGACCTTGAACTTCGTAGGCGGATGCCGAAGTTTGTTCTGGAAACTTCTGTGCTTGAACTGCGTTTGCCCCGTCCACAACGCAGCATTTGATCGAGCATTTTGATTACTAGTCATCATACAAAACACTTACTCTTTCCAACCCAGTTTGTCTATTTTCACAGTTTTATGCGTAAGCTCCACATTTGAATTCAGCTGAGCACCTAAAGCTACGACAATACATATATTCACGATACTCGGTGTTCTGAACCCATTCGCTCTTAGGGGTCCCACTACACGAAGTTCATACGGTTACTAACCTCAGTAAACTGCTGGTTCTGCTAAAAATAAAACTTCAAGATAGGTATTTGCCGTCATTTGACTCACATTTCTTGTGATTTTGCCCATCGTTTGGATTCTGAATAACATCTGACAACGATTATGCTACTGTTAGTAGTACAATCATTTCGTGATTTGGATACTGATGCATGATTTCAAAATTAGAGTTCACCGACAAGCTTATCAGTGCGGTTGTCGCCGTTGCCTAGTTGGTTCCGAGACTGCCTCAGGGCATGATGTTTATGGCTAAAGGTTTACTTTGGACATATTTCGGGTAACCAAAATGTTCAGTCAAATATTGTGACATTGGTGATGTAACGCGCGCGGTTCAAATAACACCATTAAGTTCAATACGAGATAATCGATTCTGGGGAAGAGTAATGTTGCGTTGAAAGAACAGTATTAGGTTGGACCACCTTGGTATAAACGCCTCACAAAGTTCTCAATCCCCCTACCATGGCTGCTTTAGTGGGATGATATCACATTATGTCTTCGCAATAGATCGCATTCCTTGAACAGTTTAGTAAACCAATTTGATTGTTTGCAACTAGTTTAAAAACCATTTTTCCGAAGTAGAAAGGACAAAACTGGGAAGAAAATATTCATGTGTGTGTGGTAGGTACAACGGGGGTGCGTATTCTGAAGGCATATTTGTCATACCAGAAGATGAAGTTGACCTATCAATTAATAATGAACAAGCATCTCCAGAGACACCAGTCACAGCTGTAAATGGATCACGATCTTGCATGATATAAACAACTCGCCAGTAAGACTACTTTGTCACCGTATGGAAGGTGTTTAGGAATTAGGTGAATTTTTTTTATTTTTGGAGTACACTCGATTTTGGATCGTAGTATGATGTTTGCAAAGTTGTACGCATGGTTCCTCAGACTTTTAGTTGAAAAGCTAAGCCATTTTAATGTGTCCATCCACCTAAAGCACAATTATAACGACATCTTGGTCGAATATGTACGAAAGAAGTAAATAAAAGACCTCACCGAAATTCATTTTGATTTGAACGACAGATTCTAGTTGAAGAAATGCTCGACACGTTGGTAAGGGTAGAACCCTGAACAAAAGTGCACCAATAGAATGTGCCGAATTGTGTGCTGCGTATTCGTTGCAGAACATTAGAAAGAAGATTTTCACTCAATACTCGTTTAAGCCCCATTGTCAATACCAGGGCAGTTGTGAACTCAATAGTCGCTGAATGTCTTGATTAGGTAAGAAGGCCGGCTGAGTAAGTTTTTAGGATTTAGCTACTCATTCAACTCGGAATTAGGCAACACGGTTGATACGTTTTGATCAGTTTTTCTATCTTTCTGGCCGTCTTAGTTGAACCCATCCAGTGACTGATCAGATGTGCCCGCAAAGGTTAAGCAAACCAAAGTTACAGCGGTGCATTCACTCACACTGTATAGTTTCCGTTTTTATCGGCAGTCACTTAGCCCATGCCTGCATTTCACCGATTCAGTCATGTTTCTTCAAAACTAACTAACCTATTGATGGTCTACGGTAACTGCATAAAAGTCTGCCTCCTGCTAAAACTTGTTCTAAAACTTGTTCAAAGTAACTGCTTATTACAGCCTATGAGTTTTGTCATGAGGCTTACTTTCATGAGACGCCCACGACAACAGCATTACGAAGTTAGGTCTTTACATGTTGGATTTTAGTAACGCTCACAGAAGAACACAAATGCACTCTCAAAGGATCGGTATTTATTAGCCAAAAATCAGCCACTCAGATTCCGGTATACATCGACTTTTGATTTTGGTCGGAACTCGCGTTTCCATTCTTTTCATCAACATCTCTGTCCTTTATTTTCTCTTTCTGGCGGATGGATAATTTACCATATTTTTCACTGATTTGTCTCCTATCACGGTTTATTCGACACGGTAATATGGAAAAACACAACCAGGATATGAAGTGCATCCCCGCCATTATCACTGATAGCAACACAGATGTAAAAAATGTGAGACTTCACTTTTCACAGACATCTATTTATTTTGATAAAGCTCCAAAACGACAAGTAATAGCTAACGCACATAGCCTCACTGGTGCTCTGCAGATACCGACAAAGGTGTAAGTGTGATCACAATTCTTATTTGAGAAATGAACTCCCTACAAGGCTCGCCGTGGAAAGTGAGCTCTTCATCATGGGTAAACTTAGGGGTGCTGTACGGAAGATAAAGATAGAGCCAAACGAATACGAAACGTCACTGAAGTCATTAGGTCATTCATCACCATCCTTATGCAATTTGCTTCAATTTGTCCTTTGAATTCACAAATAACCGTGTCCAGTGTCTACATTAACCGCATTCGCTTCAATCCACGAGGCGTTTTGGAGCTTTCAGTCTTGCTTAGGAAAATCAAGTGATGCTACGGACACTACAAATGACTACTGCCTGCTCTCTGCTATTGATTAATGGGCTAACCTACCATGAGTCTATTGATCGCTACAGGGATCAATCAATATCTTTGAACACAGCCGAACCTCGGATAGCCAGTGTACAATGGAGACCCACTCTCAAGTTTTAGGCCAACATCATGAAGGCATAATTTTTACACAGCAGCTGTATGACATTTTTGCGGACAATTCTAAGGGGACAACTGTTTTCAAGCGGTTCTTCAAAGCTCTTCAATATGCTGCAGTTGGTTTCCGAAGGCAATCCGCACTAGTGACCGCATACTACTACGATGTTTTGAATTGGAAAACAAAGGCAGATATCCGTTTCACGTTGCTCGTTGTTATGGGTTTACTTATGTTACACATTGCTGAGTATGGGCTTGCTTCCTCTATACCATCAGCTTTTCCTTTTGAATCCGTTGGTGTTCTCGTAGTGAGCACTTTCCTCATTCACTTACTGACATTCCGCAAACTCACGCACGCAACCTACACAAATATTTCAATGCTGATAGCACTGGGAACAATGTGGATTAATTGCTGGGCCAGATGTCACTTGGCCAGGAGGAGCACGCGAATGTATTTACCGACCTTTTTATTGATTTTCATCACTGTCCTGTTCCTTCCCATCCCGTTTGACTCTGGACTCATCATCATTGTGGGACAGTTTGTCACTTTACTCCTTCTTCGGGAGCACGAAAGTGAACAGGTGAAAAAGATCGCTGAGCAAAGAAATCATACTAAGAACCATAATCCTCTGGTTGATACTTTTCGACTTTCCGGTACACCGAACACAGCACTGAAGTCAAGTAGCCTAATGCTAGGTCAAGAAATTTTGCTTTGTGGTTTGATTTATTCAGTTGCTGTCTACGTAGCTATGTGGAACCACCTGCGACGACGTATTGTTTTTAATCGTCTGGCTACGAACGTTCGGATGCGCAAAGCCATGACTAAAGCACTGGATGATAAAGTACGATGGATCCAGGCAATAATGCCGTCTCAGGTTACCGCGGAATTCTATCAGTTATACAAGCAGTATTCTGATAATGATTCCCATATGTGGGTTTACAACAAGGCATTGGATAACGTGACGATTCTATTCGCCGACATGGTTGGGTTTACTAAAATGAGTTCGAACAAAACGGCCACTCAACTAGTCATGCTGCTGAATGACCTATTTAGCCGCTTTGATGAACTATGTCAGCTAACCCACTGTGAGAAAATCGGAACGTTGGGCGATTGTTATTATTGTGTGGCCGGCTGTCCAGAACCACGAGCTGATCACGCCGAATCGTGTGTAGAAATGGGGTTAGGGATGTGTCGTATAATCAAAGTATTTAATTGTGATCATTCTGAACAGGTGAACATGCGAGTAGGAATTCATACTGGCAGGGTAAACGCCGCAATTATCGGGAAACAACGTTTCCGATATGACGTCTATTCTTACGATGTGAGCATAGCCAACGCAATGGAGTCCAGTGGCCGACCTGGAAGAGTACACATTTCGGAGGAAACCTTTGAACGAGTGAAGCACGTTTATAATGTCAGTTGTGGGGAAGACTTGTATGTTAAGAAAGAGGAAATGTTGGGAATTGCCGGTATGGCTTTAACGGAAAGGGCGATGAAGACCTATTTTGTGGATCCACGATCATCTTTAATTCGGCGTCGACATGAAAAGTTTGGCAAGAAAGCTAATGTTCTATCAAAGGCTTCCTGGATTGCACAAATGGACGACGATTTTGACAAATCATCATCATCAGTGGAAGATGACGGTTGTGAAGTTGAGCGGGACAGTACACTAAAGAATTCGAAACAACCATTTCGAACGCCTTTGTCTAAATGTCATGAAAAGAACAAGGATGATCTCGAACATCTTGAACGGCAAATCGAGTTGATACATGATCTACAAACTGACCCGGAGCGCCAAATAGCCTTTTTCCGTGTTCCACCTTTGCATCCATATCGTTTTCAATTTTTGAATGCAGAAATTGAATGGCATTACCGCCACCATAGCAGGGAAATTCGTGCTCCAACGTACATCGACGCTAAGAAGGCGTCTTCTATTGCTGATGCCTGTGTCCTGGCAATTGCGAATGCAATCGTCTTGACAGTGTGTGCAGTTATACAGATAGTCTGTTTACAAATCGACGTGGTGGACTTAATGGTATATACCTCCGTGTTTGTAACAGTTATATCTTTGTTTTTCGCCCTTCTGTTGTCTGCAACCTTTTACCAGGACCAACTGAAACCAGGCTTACTAAAAGCTATTCACCGTTTTCTTAGTAGGTTATTCGTCCAAGAAGTCATCCTTTCTATTCTCTGTCTGAGTCCGACGCTTTGCTTTTTGAACCTCCGCCATTCATTGGGTGATCGAGTGTTGTTTTCGGAATATACTTATATTGCCGTACATTTGGCTGGAGTCTGTTTAATGGTTCACTGCTTACCTGTATCCTCTGCCTATCTGGGTCGCACAGTGTCATGTTTAATCACTTTGTTTATTACGGAATTCGTCCGCTTGCGTGAAACAGCCAAGGAAGTGTGTGTGCTGAAAAGCGAGGATCTAGGACAAAATTCATGGCGGTCAGTGAAGCATTTATTACTCTTCGAAATGTTATTCTCTTTTGTGCTGATAACTCGAATCGCCCGCGAGAATGAACGAATAAGTCGCCTCTGTTTTTATGTAACGCGCGAAATGTCTATTGCGAGTGATCTAAGTCAAATCGCTGAGCAGGATGCGCAAAAATTGCTTTTTAATATTATACCGGAATACATATACCGAGAACTCAAATGCGCGGGACAAGGAGATCTAAGTACTGGTTCTTTTAGTTACGCGGTTTCACTACAAAATGTTGGTGTGAGCTTTGCGTGCATTGCAAACTTCTTTTCCAGCTACTACCGTGAGGACTACAAAGGTGGAGAGGCTTCACTGAAGCTACTGAACGGCATCATATGCACTTTTGATGGGCTGCTTGAACGGCCAGAGTTGAAGGATGTCGAAAAAATCAAAACAATCAATGACTGCTATATGGTCGCAGCCGGGTTGAATTATCAAGCAATTAAGAAGAATGAGAACAAACACAGTCATCTGATAAGTTTAATGCATTACTGCCACTTACTCAAAGAGAGCTTGGATGAATTCAATGATAAATATATCATAGGAACGGAAAATTTCGTAGTCAAAATTGGCTATAACTTCGGTCCAGTCACTGCTGGGATCATCGGGACGACCAAACCATTTTACGACATCTGGGGTGACACGGTCAATGTGGCTAGCCGGATGTATTCAACTGGCCTGCCTGGCGAAATTCAAGTTCCAGAAACAGTTATTCCTGTGCTGGATTATTACTTCGACTTTCACTATCGCGGTGACATATTTGTGAAAGGTAAGGGAGATATGCGTACGTACGTCTGCAAAAAGAAACTATGAAGCTGTTTAGTTAAAAACTGTACCCGTTTGTTTATACAAATGTGTTTATTGGTTCACTAAAATATACCTGTGGTCTCGGCTTCCTCTCACCGGTTGTAACGACATCCGGATTTGAGAACACTCTTGTCAGTGAATCTAATCAGCTGACTACAAATCAACTCGCAAACGATCTCTGACAACCGCCACCCCGGGAGAACCTTGAACAGTGGTGGAAATCGTTGGCAACCAGACGATGCCACACACAGTGAACTCTTCATTTCGTGAGGTCAGCGGGTTAAATGTGACCGTACCGTACCGAATGAACATACTAGACAGAAGTGAAGTCTGTAATGAGGAAAGTCATGGGCTTGGTCAGTCTGTCTTACGGAGCTTAATTCCTAGAAGTGTCTTCAGGTCTCGACTTACTTCAAAATTCTTTACCCCAGACCCTAGCACATTTCAGTTCCAGTTATATTCACCCCTTTCCAAAACCATTCCGACCACACGTAAACATGCAAACCCATAGGGAAGAAGTAGTGTATATAAAATAGAAGGGATTTGGAGAATCCTTAACATGTATAGTCAGATTACATGTAGTATGAACAAAAGACGCTTGAAGAAGGCATTGGGCCCTTTGAGGATGGTGACCAACCACCAAAATCACCCTCGTAGCTGATTAAAACACAAGAGAATATATCCAGCACCTCCACAACGAAAGTCACCAGCCGTCAAACTTTCACCGGAAGTCACACGGATAAACAGGGACAGTTGGGTCCTACGGAAAACCCAGTGGAAGGAAATGCACTTCATCTGAAAAAGGCAGTTGTTAGTCTTCTGAACAGAACTTCAACTGTACTGACGACCTTAATCGTCATGTTCCAACCGCTTATCTCCTGGGCGTGCTACTCCTTGTTCGCCGATCACATCCGTGAAGGTACGAAGAGTTGACATTAAACGCCGTTACTCAGTTTTGATCCCCAAATAATCTCTGTATCCACCCACCTACCTGGCGCGAGAAATTTCTCTCCTTTAAAATATGACAGCGATGCTAGAAAAAGTATTATTCTGTTGTAATGATACAGGTTACATTGACAGTGGCATTCTTAGTTGCCAAATGGCGGCGATCTATACGGTGAACTAGTAATACCAGGCTATTTTTAATGAGTTCCACAGTTTCCTAATGACAATTTTTGCCTTTCTGGTTACTTTCTGCTGATCAGAACCGGATTTCAGACTGGAAACAACCCAGTGCACTTCTGTATAAGAGATGTTGTGAACTGTCCGAAGTAGCTTAAAATAACTTTCCAGTTACGTGAATTCTGACTTTATTTTTTACTAACGTAGCAGTCCAGTTGGGCTTTGGAGGGCATCATTCTCTGAAGTTGCAACGAAGAGACGTGAAAAACTAACCTTCCGACTATTGTGCACTTACAATGTCTCTGCCGTTCAAATCCAGCACAAAGATCTAGGATATTGCCAGATAGCTCACTCATTCAATAGTGATTTCGAAATACGTGTGGTTGTGTTAGGAGTTTACATCGGAAACACTCGACACTGAATCGGACATCTCAGTGACTAAATTCTACGATTTTCTGATTTCACCGGGTCGCTTTCAGGTCACATTCGTTTGTGGGACAAAGTTGGCTAAAAACAGCTAGCTACCACTGGATAGGTGACTTGGCATATGGCCACTGAAACCTGTCAGATGTATTCTATGAGTTAATTTTCCCCACATAATGGCTTGCTTCCATTGATTATAGACAACCGTCATGTGAGGGATTATTGACTGTAACCAGTCCCTATGCGGAATACACCTGACGTTTTCGGCTAGTGCGCCGTGATCGTATGCAATCAGCAGTTCTGAATCAGGTAGAAAAATTGCTACCTGAACCCAGTCCCTTTTATGCTATAAGATTAAAGAGAGGAAGAAGTGATGGGTAGTAGTAGTACAATGCTTTCATCTTTACTGGTGCGTCATCAGCTTAAAAAACTTTAGCTGTACAGACAAAATCTGCGCCATTCCGGTCGGAAGGGATGAAAATTCCAAGTTACCCAATCGAACCAAGTGATCCAGCTCGTTGAAAAGGCCAAAGCCTGGTGTATGTACAGGAAGAAATCACAACTGTGATTTTCGTGGCTGCTCATTTGGGGCTATCACAGAGGCTTGTCTCTATCAGAACTTTCGCTGAGTCATCTTCGATTTTGTTTCATAGAGTAATCGATTGCCACGTCCGTATAGTTACAGTCATCGTTCACTTGATCATCTATGTAGGAACTGTACATTGCGACTGGGCGTTGCAGCGTCACGGGTTGTATCACTTGCTGTTCAGGGAGTGCAAAAAGGTTTGAATTAGATGAAATTGTCACGGGTATTGACGAGTAGTTGGGCCCTGTCATGTGGGGGCGGGCAGTTGGACATGAGAAAGGGAATACTGGGTAGTCCGGACCCATTTGTTGAGGTCTAGGCGCCTCGGCCATATTCAAGTCTGTACAGTGATTCTGTGGCCTTTGGTTTTGAAAGTCCATGGGATAAGTTTGCTCGGTGTGCCTTGTGGCATTCTGAGTTAAAGCCCTCATGTAAAGGAGGTAGTAATTCTTGTACTGCTCATAAAACCACTGTGTTTGTGTGGGTTCGTTTTGCACTTGTGAACAAGGTGGAGGTTGGCTGGGTGGTCTTAACTTGTGAATGGGTGGAGGTACCGTGAATGCGGATGGGACATTTGGAACTGGACGTAATGCCAACGGAACCCAGGAAGAGTAGTCAGCTTCTCGGATGTATGTTGAAAACGGCTGTTTGACTTCCTTGGCTCCACCTACGTTTCCTTCTTCCTGGCAGTATATGAACGGTGGTGTGGCCGAACTGTAGGTAGCATGTGATTTTGGACCGGTCATCTCTGTGCCTCGCCTATCGCGAGTTCCACCAAGGCGATGTTTTTGCTTATCATCATTTTCCACTTTGGATTCTGCATAATGGGGGAGAAAACAGAATGATCAATAGAGAAAACTGCTTGCGGCGGGGTTTTGTCTCTTTATCTACTAACTAATAACTATTATGACTTTTGGTCCCATGTAAACTCATATACGGTGCATCCATATATTCGAAAAAGTTCTTTTTTTCTCTGGTTTGATCACTCAGATCATTGACTCCCGTCCATTCAACCAATGATTGCAGAGTAAGCCATTCGGTGGCTCAGCCAGTTGAGGTACGCCTCAAACCGTTGCTGGAGATCATCTAGGGCGTTATTCGATTCACTGTTCAATGGACCAGGTAGGTAAGGTGAGACACTACAGTCATCTCGAGCAAAACCCGTCCTACTGTGAAAAGCTGAAGAGACCAACCTGAAGAAATCGACCCAACTTGGTCTCTTATGGTAATCGTTGGAAGTGTCTTGCGAGAACCAACGTTAAATGGTCTATTCTGAGGGTCAGACAAGTTAATTACATCTAGAATAAGCGAAGAGCTAGTATAAATTGGCACTTTCTGAAGTGTCAAATTGCTTGTCATGAATATGGCTACTCTGAAACAAATCTGACATCCCTCGTGATACAAATACTGTGTTAAAAAGAAATCTGCAAGGACTCAAATTAGCTTTCAAACCCTAGAATGACCGGTCAGCTTGGAATTTTTCGTAATGATAAAGGAACAGTACTTGAATAGTTCTGTGACGACTTCGGAGAGTGTGAATGACAATGATGATGACGATGATATGGTACCTCTAGAAGAAGTTTCTATCCATGATTCTAATCTGAGGCACTCAAGTCGCTCACCGTTAAATCAGCGAATGACTTGGTCTGCCAGAATTAGTTCTGAATGACTTTGACACCCACATAAATGATTCCTAAAGTTGACCTGTTGAGGGGCACCGGACGTTTTGTAGATAGCATAATCTGGCTCCCAGTTTTCACCTAGAGTTGTTCTGCAAAATCGGCATTGCATTCATGATCTCACAGTTGTTTGGATACAACCTTGTGCATGTTTGCAGGGAGCGGTTCCAAATTATTTATATAATGTGTTGGCTGGTTATATGGCTGATGCAAGTTCTGACTCCCGTTCCGTCCACCTTATCCTAAATTTAAAACAGAGGTGCCAGTGCAACGTCAACTTACTCTGATGAGTGCGGAGATGTGTCTTCATGGAACTCTCTTGAGCGTAACCTTTCGCACAAACTGGACAGGTAAACGGCTTTTTACCTGTTAAAAGAAACAGAAATATAGCGATAAAAAGATAAAGAGTATTTTCCACCCACTTCGAGTGTTTGGACAACCAAACAATGCCAACAAAGGGTATTCAAACGAACGTCATTTTGACTTACTGGTGTAAACTACTTAAGCCTGCATTTTACAAGTACCTACAATTATATTGTAAATCAGCAGTCACAATATTGTTTCGATATGTGCTCGCCATTTCCGTTTGCTGAAAAGGAACTTAGATTCCTCTTCTTAACCCCTGCGTTCTCTTCGTGGCCAGGTCTCATTGTTGTGAACTGTGTATATATTTTATTTATAATCTTACCTACTAGATGCCGTAAAGTAGTGTGGTTGTAAATGAAATACGAACGCCAAGCTTTTCTTACCGGTATGGGTGACTTGGTGAGATTTCAAGTTTCGTTCTGTAGCGAACCCACGTTCACATAAGGTGCACCGAAATGGCCATTCACCAGTGTGTGTGTACTCGTGTTTTCTGAGATCGCCCGGAGTGACAAATGCCTTGGGACACTGACTACACTGATGGCGCCGCGTCTAAAATAGGGACAAAAAGTCAATGTTTATATAGCGGTATAACTGATCTGCTATAGTAAGCTTTGAGGAATAAAGTAGAAATCAACTCACATTTGTATGAGTATACTTATGAAATATAAGGTTTGAACCTGCAGCAAATCGTCGCCCGCATATTCGGCATACGTAGGGCCGTTGTCCAGTATGAGTTCGTTCGTGTGTATTGACGCCACTTCTTGTGGAAAAACCTTTTGAGCAGTAGCGGCATTCAAACGGACGTTCACCTGAAAACCACATACATTGTACG